AAGAAGAAGAACTAACAAGGTAAAAGTACTAACATCACTAGTTCGTGATTTATGTTCATTTGATTTGTAGGGCATTGTTGGTTCTGAAATTAGGGTTTCGGTTGTTACTGTTGTGACTAGTGACTAAATTTGGCTATTTTTGGAGATTGAAAATTGACAATCTTTGTTGATGTATTCACTGTTTGATTTTGTTTTGTGTACTTTCCTATTCTGTGATTTTTTTTTTTTTTGGTTCATGTATTTACATGAATATATTTGGGTTGTGATTTTAGCATTGTGAAAGGGAAGCTGTAGAACAGCAGCTTAGTTATTTGAACGAGCCATCAGTTCTTCACAACCTTCAGTATAGATATTGTCATGATATTATTTATGTATGCATGATTGTGATACTTAATTTCCCTCCCATCAAATTAAGTTTCCTTTTTCCTCTCATTTGACTTATGTTTGTGCTTGTTTCCTGTAGAGTAAAGCAGGACCTGTTTTAATAGCAATCAATCCCTTCAAAGATGCCCATTGTTTTGGAAACGATTTTATCACAGCTTACGGGGAGAAGCTTTTTGACAACCCTCATGTTTTTGCTATAGCAGATACTGCCTATAACGAAATGATGAAAGGTGAGTTAAATAGTACTTGCAGGGATTTTGAAGAAAAAATAGGACTCATATTCATCTATTTATACTTTGCTACTAAATAATTTGTTTTGCTCACTCTACTTTTATCATGGATCATGCAGATGAAGTGAATTAATCCATCATCATAAGGTTAGTTGAACTGTCTTATGGATTTGTTGAACTGTTTTATGGGAAACTCTGGATTTTAACTGTGAATCAATCCACCACTAGGGTGATAGGGCCATAAATCCATGGGAAGAATGGAGCTGGGAATATATATATTCCTTGAGTTTGTTTAGGTTGGAGATATTCTTGTCATTGTTGAAAGTGACAATAAGTGTTAATATTTTGGGAGGGAGATGGGTACTAAAGTTTAGCTTGCTTAATTCTGCAAAAGCTTATGTTTGTTTCAATGTGACACTTCTATGGAAGAGCTTTGCCAATAAGTAATTGGATTTGAAGTCTAGAGGATAATTTTAAGTATTTAAGAAGTTCATTGCGAGGTAATCCCCAAGTCTAATTTGAGATATTTTTCTAGGTGGATGGAGCATAAGTTTGGAGGCTGTTCCAACAAAGAACTAGTTCTTTGAAACTTGAGTATGCCCTGATTGGAAGGTTGGCCAGATATGTAAAGGAGTATAGCAATCGTGTGCATGAACATAGAGCATAAGTATGCTAGTAGAGTTGGTTTACAATTGTGACATTCTTTATTCTGCTGCACTTGGGGAGCTTGTTAATTCGCAATAAATAGTTCTTTATATGTTGAAACAAAACAGTGTCACTGAGGACAAAAATTCTCTTGACAATGGTTTCTTTATATTCAAATTAAAAATGAAGAAGATATGGGAAAAATTCTTGAAATTGGGCCATTTTATTTTGGAAGTAGACTAATTTTAGTGAGAAGATGGCAGTTGTACATGCATTTGACTAAGAGTGAATTCTCTTTTGTGCACATTCCGATGAAATTCTATAATATTCCCCTAGAGCTTTGGACAAATGATGGGTTGAGTCATGTGGCTATTGTTATTGGTAAACCTTTGCACCTTGATGAGTATGCTGAAGTTCATAATATGCTTATTTTTGCAAAATTGCATTGATTTTTGTTTTTTTCAATTTGTGTTTATTTTGATGAATTAGATTGTAGTTTATGTTCTGATGCAGACATGTAGACCAGTGATGACTACAGCTTTTATGCTAAAACATGATTTTTGGATATATGTTAGTTTGTGGTCAATGTTAAAACATGATTTTTGGATTTAGATATGTTATTTTGTGGGTAATGGTGATTGGATATTAATTGAATGAGAAACTGAATTAATACTTCATTTGTTATTTGAATGAGAGTTATTATTTTATATGTTAGTTTTATTACAGGTATTTGAATGAGAGTTAATGTTTTGTATGTTAGTTTTATTACAGGTATTTTTTTTATTAATTGAATGAGAAACCAAATTCAATATTTTATTACAGGTATTTTTTTAATTTAATCAAATAAAATTAGCATAATTTCAAAAAAAAAATGGATATGACGGCGTTTCTACAAACGCCTCATAAACCCTAAACACTAACGGTTATATTTTTAAAACAGATACGACGGCGTTTCCAAAACGTCACTAAATATCATTGGTGATGTCAGCGTGTGTATAGTAGGACATTTGGCGGCGTTTTTTACACTACAACAAAAAACACATTTGGTGACCCACAAATTTCGTCGCCAAAAGTACAAATTTCATCGCCAAAAGAATCGGCGACAAAATATACAACTTGTCGCCAAGGCCCTGTCACTAAAAGTATTGGCGACGAAATCAGAAATTGTCACCGTATGTAGACATTTAGCGACAAGCAAAATTGGTCGTCAGAAATCATATATTTTGTCGCTATAAAGTTACAATTTGTTGCTAAAAGGTTAAAATTTGGATAGGCTATGTACTTTTAGCGACAAATAAATGCATCGCCAAAAGTACTAGCGACGAGTAAGTTTTGGTTGCTAAATGTTCCTGGAATAACCACTAACTTTTAGCGACAAAAACAATATGTTGTCGCCAAATATATTAACAACGACAAAAACACCACCTGTTACTAAAAATTCACTACACAAATTTTGATTTTAATAATTTTCCTGTTCAAAATAATCCAAAACACCTATTTTCCTGTGCACAATACATACACAAATGTAATGTAAATAATAATACACCTGTGCAAGACATTCATACTAATTCAAAATTAATAGCTATGAAAAATCTCAATAAACATAATTACAATTCTCTGACAATCTAAAACATGTATACCAAAGTACTTACAAACTACTAATATCAAACCCATAAATACATTACCAAATCCTATGTCAAAATATTTTCAAAATTACAACCAAATATTTTGATGTTAAACATCTAACCAGCAAGTCATTTACTAAAATCTTATGTCAAAATATTTGCAAAAATACAACACCAAATATTTTGATGCTAAACATTTAATCCATAAATCATTTACCAAAATCCTATGTCAAAATATTTCTAAAAACACAAAATCAAATCTTTTGATGCTGCCCAAACTATTTTCCACCATTGCCAATCTGTCACATGAAAAAAGAAAAAATAATATTAGATTGACCAAAAAAAAAAAAAACTCGATATGAACTTCAAAATTTCGATTTTAATTTTGTAACGGGAAGTCCAATCGGGTGCTGTTTGCTCATACAACTCTATTTAGGCTTGAACAAGCTACCCGTGCCAAGTTTCGGTGGTTTCAGTGGTCATTTTGCAATTTTGGCCCCGAACGGGCCTTTTAAGTCTTGCGTTTTACATTTTTTCTTCTAATTTTCTAACCAGAAATCCAATCGAGGTCCCGTTTGTTCCTACAAGTCTATTTAGGTTTGAACAAGCTATCCGTGCCAAGTTTTGGTGGTTTCGGTTGTCATTTCGCAATTTCGGCTCCTGAACGAGCCTTTTAAGTTTTGTGTATTACAAATTTTCCTTCTAATTTTCTAACCGAAGATCCAATAGAGGTCCCGTTTGTTCCTACAAGTCTATTTAGGCTTGAAAAGGCTATCCGTGCCAAGTTTTGGTGGTTTCGGCGGTCATTTTGAAATTTCGGCCCCCGAACGAGCCTTTTAAGTCTTGTGTTTTACATTTTTCCTTCTAATTTTTTAACCGAAAATCCAATCGATGTCCCGTTTGTTCCTACAAGTCTATTTAGGCTTGAACAAGCTGTCCGTGCCAAGTTTTGGTGGTTTCGGTGGTCATTTCGCAATTTTAGCCCCCAAACGGGCCTTTTAAGTCTTGTGTTTTATAATTTTCTTTCTAACTTTCTAACCGGAGATCCAATTGAGGTTCCGTTTGTTCCTACAAGTCTACTTAGGCTTGAACAAGCTGTCCGTGCCAAGTTTCGGTGGTTTCGGTAGTCATTTCGAAATTTCGGCCCCCGAACGGGCCTTTTAAGTCTTGTGTTTTACATTTTTCCTTCTAATTTTTTAACCGGAAATCAAATCGAGGTCCTGTTTATTCCTACAAGTCTATTTAGGCTTGAAAAATCCATCCATGCCTAAGTTTTGGTGGTTCCGGTGGTCATTTCGCAATTTCGGCCCCCGAACGGGCCTTTTAAGTCTTGTGTTTTACAATTTTTCTTCTAATTTTCTAACCGGAGATCCAATCGAGGTCCTATTTGTTCTTACAAGTCTATTTAGGTTTGAACAAGCTGTCCGTGCCAAGTTTCGATGGTTTCAGTGGTCATTTCGCAATTTCGGCCCCCGAACGGGCCTTTTAAGTCTTGTATTTTACAATTTTTCTTCTAATTTTCTAACCGGAGATCCAATCGAGATCCCGTTTGTTCCTACAAGTCTATTTAGGTTTGAACAAGCTGGCCGTGCCAAGTTTCGATGGTTTCGGTGGTCATTTCACAATTTTGGCCCCCGAACAGGCCTTTTAAGTCTTGTGTTTTACAATTTTCCTTCTAATTTTCTAACCGGAGATCCAATAGAGGTCCCGTTTTTTCCTACAAGACTATTTAGGCTTGAACAAGCTGTCCATGCCAAGTTTCGGTGGTTTCGGTGGTCATTTCGCAATTTTGGCCCCATAACGGGCCTTTTAAGTCTTGTGTTTTACAATTTTCCTTCTAATTTTCTAACTGGAGATCCAATCAAGGTCCCGTTTGTTCAACACAACCAGACATATTAAATGAAATGCTTGTAGTGATTTGAAAAGTAAATTATGAAAAATATACTTACAAAAGTGTTTGTCAATAAGATTCCTCTGATGAATAATCTAATTTGTTCTTGTTGGACCTTGGACAATTCTTCAATGACTCTAGTTCTTTTTGTAGGCTTGAAACCACCTCAGTATGTGCTTGTGCAGTAACAGAAGATCTGGATGATGATGGTTTTGGACCAACTCCAACGCCTTTTAAGTATCCCGATTTCTTTCCAAGAATCTCGATTGACAGCTGCTCCTGAGTTAAAGGTATTGCCTTAGGCTCTAAAGACTCTTCATGTCGCTTTTTCAAAGCTTCCTATCAATTTGTAAACAACTTCAAAAGAAATAATAAAAACAACTTTTTAAATAAGATCGTTATTATTCATGTAGTAAATATAATACACAATGTTAAGAAACAAGACTTACTTGCAAGAGAAACATGTCTCTAGGCATTATTGCATCTTCAGGATAATGGCGAACACCTTCCAACTTAATGACCTCCAATAACTAATAAGGACAAATAGAGATGTATAATCAATGTCAACAATTGAAGAAAACCATTACAATTCAACAAGTCAATTTGAATTTAAAAAGATCAACCTTATATAGTGATTTCAGCAGTAAATCAAGAATAAATAACTTACCTCTTCGTGCTCAATAGTATGAGCTAGTGGAAGCATTACTTGGCCCCCAAAACTTCCAGCTCGAGCCCTTGGTAAGATACAGGGACCAACTTTGACAGCTGCAGCTGAATAAGCATCAATACTACTGTCTGCCCATTCTGACCTATGCTCCCGCAAGAACCTAAGAAGTATTGCAGGGGGCACATTCTGAAAGAAAGGACAATGCAGAGAAGAAAAAGAAATGCTAAACTTGAAATGAGAAGATGAATCCAAAGGGCAAGTAGGAGTGTGAGAAAGCATGCATTAATAGACCACAGTATGACAATAATCTGAAATTTACTTCACTTACTATGATGTTTCCCATCCTTGTCATCATCAATAAGTGAAGCAGAAGCAGAATTTTGACCATTGGTGAGTGGGCCAGCAGTAATAGCTTTTACTCTAGGAATTCTTATTTTTTCTTTAGAACTGTGTGCAGCAGTACTAATACCCATGTTCCGCCATTTGTCCTGATCATGTAAATAGGCATGAAACTAGTAAATAGCATGCTGGTGTAAATGAAAATCATTCAATAGAAAACATGAGAAAACTAATGATAATTCCTATTTCAATAAAAAAAGACAAGAAATATAGAAATTACATGGATTAGCAACTGCAACTAAAAACATTCACATACTGGTAAAAGAAACAGACAGAATTAGATGCAAATAAAACCATCATCATAGCAGCAAATGAAGCAGAGAGTTGATGTGGCAACATCAACCTCATAAAGATCTTGAATATGTTAAAGAAAACTTGTACAAGTATCATCTTTACCACACAAGATGATTAATAATCCACTAACTACAAACTGAAATCCACCTAAAAAGGGCCCACAGCATAATGGGTCGTGTGAGGAAATATGGACCGAGAAAGGTCCCACAGCAGAACCTCGCAATCAGCCCAATATCACTTCCAGTGCCCGGTCCACCAGCACTCTGCAAACAAAAATGGGTCTAGGCCCAAAAAGAAAAAGCTAAAAATAAGGTTACATATCTTTCAATGTACTTAACCAGATATTTTTCAAGATAATACAAGAAGAAAATGGAAATTTGAATTACAAGCTACAATGACCACGTATGGTTTTTATGAATGGTCTACTACTCAATGTGAGTTTAAAATTTTCTTCAACAAGATTGTTAAGAATGAATTTTGCCAAGATTGAACTCACTTTAAGAATGGTTAATTAATCCAATGCTATTCACGCAAACAATTGTGCAGGACTCGGAGGGAATTTCAGATCAGTTATTGTCAAGGGTTCATTATTTGAGACTCCTTAGCTTCCCTTTGCCAACATACTTCCGAATGCCATAGATACTAGAAATGCAACTGCATTCCCTACTTGTATATACCTACAAATTAGATGGAAATAGACAAATATTAGACACCAAGGAAACAATTTAGAGTGCTGCTATTTGCCTCAGACCTTTTTTCTTTTGGACCCTCATCTCTTAATATTGATAATTATTTGTTTATTCACCAAAAGGGTCGGTCAGGTCTTAAAAAAAAAAAAATGCAAAATGACGTAGTTTCGACTTCTAATTTATTGACTCCAAACTAACAAAATTTAGAATGGCTCAAGAATTTATAGAACTTACTGATCAAAGATCAAGTTCAGAAGCTTCCTGGGTAATTAATATATTGGGGTAAAATTGAAACAAGTATTTGTGTACAGTACGTGAGCTTTTACAACACAAGCACTATTTGAAGTTATCCCATGTTGAATATACAAATTACTTTTAGTGCCATAATGCTATGATGATTACATCTATGTACCATGTTTTGTTTACTATTTCGTGTGACACCACTCTATTAATTTAATAGATCTCATCAATCATGTCTGTTGCTAATTCAAAGGAAGTTTGGCTGACCCTTAGTGGGAGCACTTTATTGCTTTGAGGATTTGAGAGAAAAACTAATTAAAAATTATACAGAATTATCTGAGAATGACGATCCATTTTATGTACATTGCATTGCTTATTTTAATAGATCTCATCAATCATGTCCATTGCATTGCTTATTTGAATTATCTGAGAATGATGATCCGTTTTAGAAGATGGTGTTTTGTGTAGTTGATGCTGGTTTACTATTTACTTGGGTGACATTTGTTCTTTATTGAGAATATGATTGATAATCTAGTCAAACCTTTGGCAATTAAATTGTGCAAATGTTCATGAACAACTGTGGTTTTCTTGTCTTTCCGTGCATATTTCTTCTACAAGGCATCTCGTGACATGGATACATGATTTGGGATTAACAAAGAGCAAAGCGATTCTACTACTAAAGCATGGCTTGAGAAGATGAAAATCCTATTTATCAGAAAGGGTTGTGGATTCTCCTCACGGAGTGTTATTACAGGTGATGCATATAAATGAGTCAATGAGATTGGACTGCCTTTTGAAATTGCTCAACGGATAACATTTGAGGAGAGAGTTACTCAATGTAACATGCAGTATCTGTAGAAGCTAGGGATGGTTTGTCAACCTACTCGCTGAGGGAAGGTTTGAAGGGGCATACTTTTTTAAGACCTGGTCAAGTGGTACATCGACGGATAATGGATGGGGCTATTGTTTTCATCAATAGACCTCCGACAATGCATAAACATTCCCTGCAAGCTTTGTCGGTTTATGTTCACGATGACCATACAGTTAAGATCAACCCTCTTATATGTGGGCCACTTAGTGCTGATTTTGATGGTGACTGTGTCCATATATTTTATCCTCAATCCCTTGCTGCAAAATCAGAGGTTTTGGAACTGTTCTCTGTAGAGAAACAGTTGCTTAGTTCTCATAGTGCAACTAACGAATGTATTTTGGACTCTTTTTAACTCTAAAATTAGACATTAACCATACAGAGGGAAACATAAAACTTAAACCTTCATCTCCGCAATACAGAGTAAACTCATTCCCCATGTAGTGTACATAACCAAAGACCAACAAGAAAATAATAAAACAAAAATAACATGTGATTTTTGGCAACGCAAAATATACATATTAGCCATAATGAGATACACAAAACTTTTGTGACTAATAAACACACAAATTTCATCAACAAAATTGTTAGTTATATTCTAACACAAGCACAAATCACTAGTCCCACATAAATCAATTTATAAGAATCTTCTTCTAACAAGAAAACTATTATTTATATATATGTGTACGTACCTTATCAGGATGAAGATAGACTTTGTCTCTGACACTGGCCTCATCAAGAACACGGGTGAAAGCAGCGACTGAGTGTTCCTGAAAATCAAATAATTGTAGTCTTTCAAATAATTCATGTACAATTATAGACTCTCACTGAAAACACAATAACTGAAATACATGGAGTGACAAATACTAAAAAATGATTAATCAAAGATCCTAAATTTACTATATATACATACTTCCACAACTTCAATTTGTAGATAAACACAAAAAACAACCCACCAAGAAAACTAAATTATATTCTCCTAAATTGTATTTGAGTCCAAAATTCTCCTAAATTATATTCTCAAAGATCCAAAAGTCAAAAAAAAATGGATCTAATAAACAAAATCACAGTAGGCCATCATTGATGCATTTTATCGAACATTTGACAGACAAGAAAAATGGGATTTGAACTCTAATGAGAGAAACCAGACATCACAACAACACCCCTAAAAAAATTCTAAAAAGGCACTTGGCAAGAAAAAAAATCAATTAGGGCATAGAAATTGCAATTTATAGGGCAAAGAGAGACAAGCACAATTTGCCAACAGAAAAAATAAGAAGCTGAAGAAGGGGGGGAGAGAAAGAGAGAGTCCCCCCCTCCGGCAACCCTTACCCTACGGCCACGCCTAACAAACCCACGACCACGCCCCTCCCTGCCTCATCTACGCCAAACACCTCTACCGTTCTCGCCATTCGCTACCTAGCTCATGCTTGAAAATCCTTTGGGTATGCTATTTGGTCTCTTGAAGTCTACCATTTGGATGTTGAATGAGAAGAGAAGAGAATAGATGAGTGCGTACCGTTGATTGTCACCGCTGCCGAATCAGTTTCGTCGTACCGTCGAAGTGTGCACAGAGAGAGAGATTAAAACCCTACCCTTCCCTTCCATTCCCTTTTGAATCCTCTATCTTCTTCCTCTCTTCTCGTTTTCCTCTAAATACAATGAAATGAGGCTTGGGTGTGTTTATTCAGTAAAAGGGTCAGTCCAGTCTCTTAAAAAAAAAAAAAAATTGAAAAATGCAAAACGATGTAGCTTCGTTTGCTAATTTATTGGCGACAAAAATTCTTCTGTTGCCATAAGTACCATGCATCTTTTCCGCGACTATTTCATTTTCGTCGCCAAAACTTTACAATCGGCGACCAAAATTTCGTCGCTATATGTTCATTTGGCCGCGAAAATATTTTTGGCGCTCCCGCCCAAAAAATTAAGTTGGCGCCAAACCTTTTGGCGACTAAAAATATTAACTCGTCGCCAATAGTATACTTTTGGCGACAAACAATTATATTGTCGCCGATTATGTAATATTGGCGACTAATTTTAGTTTGGTTGCTAAAAAGCGTCGCCAAAAATGTTTTTTGTTATAGTGTTAAAACGCCTTCTATACTAATATCACGACGTTTTTAAAACGTCACAAAGCTACAGCGACGGCCGTATCTTCGACGTTTGGCACTAAATGCCACAAAAGGAATTAGCGGCGTTTTTGATAGATATAGCGGCGTTTTTTAAACGCCACTAAAAGTCCAATTTCCAGCAGTGTCAAATTTGACCAAATGTCACTACAGCATACAAGAAATTTAGAGAACAAATATTTTGATTTCTAAAAGTGAAAATTTTGTTATAAAAGATATTTAGGAACCAATTTCCATTGTCATGGGGATAGTCACTAAAAAGTCATCCCGAAAAGTCAAAAATAAGGCTTTTAGTGACAAAATTTTGCAAATGTCACTAATAAATAGACTTTAAGGAACAAGATAATTTGGTTTCAAAATGATTTATTTTTTGTGATAAAAAATTTGGTCCTAAAAGGATAATAATTCATCACTAATGTCTAATTTTTGTTGCTAAAAATATAATAATGACACTTTTCGTAACAAAATTATTTGGTCCTTAAAAAAAAAAATTTGTCTATAAATTTTAATTTCTAAAACCTTAATTTTTTGTAAGGTGTACGGTGAATGTATAAAATATTAGTGCTTTATTAAAAATTTCTTTGGCAATAATCAAAGGAGTACACCTATTGCCAATAGATCTAATACTTTTTTAAAAAAAAATTCTTGGTGCTTACACAAATATTTTAAACAAATTTCATGTTGCTTTCACAAAAACCAAATCGACCATTTCAATAAAATTAATTTTTAGTTAATCCATATATTTTGTTTAAGGGCGAATTACGCTAACAGTCTTTATAATTTGGGATTTGTTTCACTTTGATTTCTGACTTTTCAATTGAGACTCATTTGACCTTAAATTATAAATCTTGTTCCAAATAAAGACAACTGAAGATACCATTACTCAATTTCAAGGGCAAAGTCGTCAATTTGATAAAATATAAACTAATTTGACAAAAATAAATATCAAATTTTTTTTTTGAATTTTTAAAAATAATTTATTCATACCAAAGATAAAATTATGTAGAATTGATAAATCTTTTAGACATTTATTTATTTATTTTTACCAAATTAATTTTTATTATGTGTTTGGATGACAATCATGCAATGGGTGGTTGTTAGACTTTTAATGTGTAATCGATATATTTAATTTATGAAATGTTTTTAGTTTTGAATTTTTTAATTTAATTGATTGGTTTAATAATGACATTAAAATTGTCGACATATTTGACTTTTGAAAAAATAAAAACTAATTTAATAAAAATAAAAACAACTACCTATTACATGATCATCATTCAAACACATAATAAAAATTAATTTAGTGAAATAAATAAAGAAAGAAATGTATAAAAAATTATCAATTTTACATAATTTTATCTTTAGTGGGTAGAAATAATTTTTAAAAATTTAAAAATATTTTTTGACATTTATTGTTGTAAAATTAGTTTATATTTTATCAAATTGACGACTTTGCCTTTGGAATTGAGCAATGGCATTTACAATTGTTTTTATTTGGAATAAGATTCAAAATTTAGGGTCAAATGTGTCACAATTGAAAAGCCAAGCACCAAAATAAAGGCCTCATTTGGCAATTATATGTTTTAGCCAAAAAGTCAAAAAGTCACTATAAGTTGCCACATCAATTTCTCTATTTTTTTACATATATTTTCTTGAAAAGACAAAAAATTA